TTCTTGTAAATACAGTAGCACAAAATCTTTAAAAAAAATAGAATTAGTAGACATACAACAGAAAAACAATTAGGTGATACAACGAAACTATATTTTAAAACACAATTAACAATCAAACAAGGATAACTATCAAAATACCATACACAATTTAGTAGCAGCAAGCCAACAACAAACATTATCTAAAAGCAAAATAGATTTATAACAAACAACAAACAATATATCTATATTGCCTTAAAAACGGCTGCACACAACGCTACACCTTAAAACACAATTAAGAAGCATTCAAATATAATCAATAAAGTAGCAAAATAATATCAACGGTAAGCACACATCCTCTTAAAACATAATTAGTTTATGTCACATAGCAACATTTACCAACACACATTCCGTCTTTAAAAAAAATTAGCACCCACTCCATTCCATAATCCATACTACAATTCCGGCTCCGGTTGTTTCAATTGATCTAAACTACTTCTTTACTATCATGGTCACTGCCCACACGGCCACACCTATCAACAATGCAAAATTTTCTCACTACCACATTTATAAAACATTTCAATAAATTTAATACATAAAAATTACAAAACTTAAACATTTATTAGAGAGACAATTTTTTTGTAGTTGGGATCTGATCTTGAATATCTTTTGTACCTGTAAAAAAGATATAAAATTTATTAATATATTTTACAAATATAAATAATATAAAATTAAAACTACTTAAAAAATAATAAATAATAATAATAATAATTAAATTCATTACCCATTTCAATTTCTTCAATTTCTTTGTAAAATTCTAGATTATCATCGGTTGGATCCTTAAAAAAGTTCATCTCATCAGCTTTCAACCAATCACTAGTGCACACCAATGATTCTACAATTTTAGAATTTAAATTACTTCTAAAAGGATCCACAACTCGTTTTCCCAAACTAAAAGCAGACTCGCTAGCCACCGTTGAACTTGGAATTGCAAAAATATCTTTTGCAACCATTGAAAGAACAGGATACTTAGTTTCACTTCCCTTCCACCACTCCAAAAGATTGAAAGATGAATTAGACAATTTCTTAATATCATTTGTTAGATATTTATCAACTTCATTCGAGATCTCTTCAAGATGATCTTCTTCATTTTGTGCATTCACACATTCAAACAATTCATCACAAAGACCACCGCCACCGCCGCTAAAACCATCTCCACTACTACACTCTATCTTCATATTTTGTCCTCCCACACTCGATGTTTCATTCATTCCCTTATACTATGTCCATAAAATCACCAATTTTTTTTTAACTGTATCAATCACTTCTTGGATTTTTTCAGAAGATCCTCTCAAAATTTTGATGCTCGATTTGATCACCTGAAGCTTGTTTCTTGGGTCCAAAACATTGGCAATGAAAATCAAAGGATTCATGTTATCCCAACTCCCCCAATACTTATCAAATTTCAGTTTCATTGCACCTGCAACCTTTCTAAGGGTCGGATCGGAAAGATCATTGTACCTTTTTTCAATTTCAATCTGGAGTGCAATCAATGATTGATAGATCAATTGAGAAGTGAGAGTTTTTTATGCACTTAGTTCTAAAGTAGCATCGTAGAACTTCTTCAGAAAGTGTATAAATGCTTTCGCATTCTCTCAATCCTCCTCATTCGGTGGCCTTACCATTTCTTTACCTTATTCACTCTTTTTAGAAAAATAGTTCATAAAAGGCACTCATTCTTCAGTCATCCTCTCAAACACCCTCCAATACTTCAATGCAACATCAAGCATTTTATAAGTAGTATTCCATCTGGTTTTCACATCCATAGGCACTGTTGATGTACTAGCAAACTTAGCTAAACCTGCAAACTCTCTAAATTTATTCAATCTTGAAGGTGAAGAATGAATAAAATTAACTGCATTCCTAATGGACTTAATTGATGCATCAAGTTCTTTCAAACCATCCTTAACAATTAAGTTAACAATATGACATGAATACCTCAAATGTAAATATTTTCCTTCAAACATCAACATATTTTTCATTTTCATTCTCCTTTTCAAATAATCAATGGCGGTGTCATTAGAAGATGCATTGTCAACTACAACTGAAAAAACTTTTTCTATCCCCCACTCTCTCAAGCAAACTTCAACCATTCTACCAATTTCTTCTCCAGAATGACAAGTAATTTTTGTAAAACTAATTATTCTCTTGTGCAAATTTCATTCTCTATCTATAAAATGAGTTGTGACTACCATATAATTTATATTCTGAATAGATGTCCAAGTGTCAGTAGTTATGCTCACTCTTTGACCATTGATTGCAAGTTTCATCTTAGCTTTCTCCTCTAAGAATAAATCGTAAACCATACCTGCAGTCTTTCATCGATTAGGGAGTCTAAATCTTGGTTGTAATTCATGCACAAATTTCATAAACCCCTTCCCTTCAACCGCTCAAAATGACACTTCATCGCTAATCACATACTCAACGAGCTTCAAAACACACTTATTTTGCAATAATAAAAAAGAGGTTACTATTTACAATAAAAATTTCATAATTAAAAAAAAAATGCTATTTGCAATAAGAAACAGAAAAACGTATAATGCACACTTTTTTATTAAAAGAATGTGAAATCAATTAACTTCCTTGTCTCGTTCCTAGAGACTCATTCGTTAAAACATATTGTTTTTCTTCCTTTTCAGCTCCTTCCTACAGCGGACTTAATTTAAACCTTTTTACCAAATAATTTTTCAGTCCACTTGTACTTCCATGAGTTATAGGAATCTCAGCTTTGCAATAATTGCACGTCGCGATTGATTGCTTGCTTCCATCACTTGATGTTCGAACTCCTTTTTCACAATGCAACCAATATTGACTTCTTTGTTTATGAGCTACAGGAGGCTTTGTTAAATCTTCTCTTCCTCGTTTACGACTGGAATACTCATCAGGTATCTCACTAGTTAGAGTGGGCAATGAACCTGAAGATTCAGACTCCGTTCTAAAAGAAAAAATAATAATTAAAAAAAAATTAACAAGTATTGCAACTAATAAAAACTGAAACTAGCAAAATACTCATAAGTTACAACATACTGCAATTATATATTTTCATTCATATGAAAATTTTGAATTTTGACAGCATAGAAATACTTTAAGGTAAACTACTGCATCTAGTCTACCTATAATATATAAGTACATATTGTATCCAAGATCACAACATAACTCATAACATTTTGAAATTGGAATTACAAATTTCATCAATGAAGACCAAGAATTTCTTATTCTAAACTTACTTCAACATATACTCACCCTAGCCCATATATATATATATATAAAGTTATATCCATTAATTTTCATCATTAACGAAAAAAAAAAAATTACTACAACACCTAAAAAAAATAGCAACATGTTTTGAAAATAAAATATATATATATATAAAGTTATATCCATTAATTCTCATCATTAATCAAAACAAATTAAATTACTGCAACACATAAAAAAATTAGCAACAGGTTTTGAAAAAAAAATATACAGAAAAATATGAATAAAATTTAAAATAAAAGAAACAAAAAATAGAAAACACAAAAATCAACAAAAAAGTGAGATTGAAAAGAAAATTACGCTCAAACCTTGGTATTGGAAGGAATTATTTAAACTTGTAGTTTTGTTTGCCTCAGTGGTGAAGGACGTTAAGGAAGGAGAAAAACGTTTTTGTAAGAGAGACCTACGAGTGTCGGGAGAATAAGATGCAAGACTAAAATTGTAGTGCGGGTGAAAAATCTGATGACAATGGGTGATAGGGCGAGTAGGCGAGCGAAGGTGGAGAAGAAGGTCTGTGCGAGAACGGGATGATTGAATTTGAGAATTAAAATTGGAAATTCGTTTTTGTTAATAATATAAAATTAAAAATTAAAATTTTTAAACTATTAAATATATTTAAAATTATTTAATAAAAATTTTCGGTACGGTATAAATACCGAAGTACCAAAAATTTCTAAAATTGATATCGATACTGTACCGAAATTTTCGGTATACCAAAATTTTTGATAAATTCGGTATTTTTCGGTACGATAAGTCAGTATACCGATTTTTTCGATAACTTTATTCATCTCTAAATATGATATTACATCTTACATCAAATTCTGCAGTCATTTCAATTATTTCGAAAAGAATTCCACTACTATCTTCATAATTTTTTTCACTTATTCTTGAAAAGCTCAATTATGCTTAAAAAAGTATTTAACAACTAATATTATTCTTATTAAAAATTTGCCTTAAAACGGCTTCTTTTTTTTTTCCTAGTTGAATATTGTTAGCCAGCAAACTCTTCAAATTCTTTTTCTTGAATAATTTATAACAAAAATATTATACTTTGGTGTGATAAAAAAAATGATAAAAATTATTTTGAATTGAAACAAAAGAATATAGTTTTTAAACTATTTATATTTTTTAAAATTTCTAAAATTATATAATAATTTTTATTTTAATATATCAACAATATAAAAATATAATAAAATAGTATTTGTTATTATCAACTCACTGATTAATTACTCTGATGAATTATACTCCCTTCCTTTCAAATATTTACCGTAGACACAAAAATTTATGAGGGATATAATTAGTAAATAATTAAAAATATATTAAAGAAAATAATTATTTTATAATAAAAATAATTATAAATTAAAATTAAGATAAAGATAATTGATTAGTATAATTAAAATAAAAAAATTATAGATTAAATTTTTTAAAATAATATAAATATATAATTTTTTTTTTTTAAAAAAATAGTGATAAACTAAGTGAACAAACTGAAATGAAAATGTGAATGTGACGAGTGAGACGGAGAGAGTAATAAATTTTATAATTTATTTATCGTAATTATACGATTAAATTAAGTGAGACGCATTTGTCACGTGGCCCCAAAATATCTTGATTGGCCGACAAGGCGAGTCGACATCCTCATCATCTTCCTCCTCCTCCACCACAACATATCAATCAATCATTATCCATTACAAATATCTGCTGATCTCCTACAAACAATGGCAATACTTTTATCGCAAGGAGGGAGAAAGAAATTCATCATCAATGGAGCAGACGAGGCCCAATCGGAGCGACGTCCACCTCGACGCCGAAGAATCCGCAAAGCTGGAGGCCGCCGCCCGCCACTACTTCGACGAGGCCGCGCCTAAACGACATACCAAGCCTCAGCGGAGCGAATACTCTTCCGCCTACACCGATGCGCTCTCCGCCCACGATTCCGCCGCTATTCCTGAACACATTCAGTTCCAGCGCCTTGAGAAGGACGACAATCAGGTTAGGTTAATTGGGTTTAGTACTGGAATTTTGGAATGGGAACGCTTTTTTTTTTCTTTCTTTTTCCTCGGAGGCAATGTAGTACGAGAGATTTGCGCATTCTGATAAATTATTAAAAACCTAAGATTGGAAATCGAAATTTGTGCAGAAGCTGGTGTATGGTGCGAGCCAAGTTCCTGAAGAATTTACGGAGACTGAATACTACCAAGATCTCAACGGTGTTGATAAGCAGCATCACACGGTACGGTCATCAATACGATTGATTGATTTCTAGTTGATACTTTGCTGCTGGATGCTTTGATACATTGCTGTCTACAACATAGAATATAGTAGAATCATTAATTTCGATTAAATTGTTAGTTTATATGGACAAAATTAATAGTGAGCTGAGCTGAGCTGAGGATGAATTTAAATTTATGAATGATATAGAAATAAATAGGATGATTGACTGACTCATTCTGCCATTAAACAGGGGATTACCATATCGTGATGCTGTACGGTTTTAACTTTTAAGCTAGCTATGGTTACTGCGAGATAGATGCTAAGTAGAAATGAATTAAATTGAGGATTGGGTATTTATGCATGTTTTTAACTTCTACTGGTGCCTCAGACTGGAACAGGGTTCATAAAAGTGGACAACTCTACAGGAGGAAATGGGTTCAACCTTGCCCCAGATGTTGCTGCTGAAAGCCATCCCCCTTCCAAAGGCAACCCTGCCACAAATGATTGGATTCCAGCCAATGCTGCTGCTGACAAGGTAAGGTGTGTCTTACTGACTGGTTCATAATTTTGAATTGGATTTGGAGCAAGTTATGGGAGAAGAGGAAGCACTACCGGATTTGTTCATTCATAATCTTACTTATTGTTATCCCAAAAAATATATATTATTTGGTCTTAAGAAATTATGCGTTTAATGGAAAAGAAGATAACCCAATTAATCAATCAAGCGAAGACCCAAATCGAAGTTGGCGAGTCCAGACGAAATAATATATGGAGTGAAATAATCTTTGGATAATTATAAGATTTGGATAAGATAGAATCCTACTTAGATTAGACTTAAGTAGAAGTAGTATATATATATATATATATATGTGTGTGTGTGTTTAGTAGCTTATGAAGACACACGCATAGGCCAAAGTTTTCCCTTGTAATTTTTAATGCATTTTTTCTTTCCTGCTTTCGTCTTCTTTATTTTTTTATTTGCTTCCTTTAATCTTCTTGTCACCTTCCTTTGTCTTCTTTATTTTTTTCTTTGCTTCCTTTAATTTTCTCGTCACCTTCATTTAACTTTCTTGTATTGAATTTTTTGATTGAATGCGTAGGTCGATGTTGAGAGTGGAAAGCCCAGCAGGAGTGGCTGATTTCAACTAAATGTATGGAAGCAAATTTGGAATTATTTGTTTTGCTGTTACTTTAATCTATTGGTGAATCAGAACTCTGCTTGAGAATAGATGGTGTTTCAGCCTGTTGTTTGAATCGGAACTGCGCCATGCACTTCCCATATATATCATATCATCTAGTAAATAAAATTCTGGCATTGCAGTAATATGATCTATTCATGACATGGCATATCTGATTAGTTCCTCAACACTAATTTGATGTTTGTTTAAGGTGAAACCACTTTGTCATAGAAACACAACATTGATTGATTCAGAGATATAGAGATAGAGAAATGGTATTTGCTTAAGCAGGAACAGGGAGGGAGTAATGGCACAGCTTATTTATTTCTTGCCATCTTCAATCCCGAGCGCGGATAATGTCACTGGAGCGTACGCTCTCTGTAATCTTTCCGAATTTCCCACAGGACTTGGGCACATGTTTTCATGGACGGCCTCGACAATCTGGATGCAACAAGACAGGAGGAGGCAAGCTTCAACATCTTTTCCACTGCCTGAATCGAGGCTAAACTTCTAGGTAATTTCGAATCCATTACCACCACGAATTCTCCTTGTTTTAGCATCCTTAGTGCCTGGAAACACATGACCATAATGCTACAAATTTCTTGAGCAACAATGGAAAAGACACAGTAAGTGTAGATGTGTGAATTCATTATGTCTATGGTAATGTATTTGGAATACTCACCCATTTTGCGGTAACTCTTTCTTTTAGACTTTTCTTCGATTCAATGGGATGCCTTCCTGATACCATCTCGACAAGGAGCACGCCGAAAGAGTACACATCGCTCTTTTCGGTTAGTCGGTAAGTCCTGAGGTATTCGGGATCCAAGTAGCCTGCAGTTCCTTTAATCTGCGTCGAAATGTGAGTTGCCGCAGGATCTTCTAGGGACAACCGCGCAAACCCGAAATCTGCCACTTTGGCGCGAAGCTTGTCAGTGATGAGTATGTTTGTCGCCTTGATGTCCCTATGGATGATCGGAGGATCTGTGAGATAACAAAAGGTACTTTCCAAACTTAATTTCCAAGAAGTAGACAAAATTGTTATAACTGATATGTGATTTGAAAAGTTTGCATCATTATCTCAGATTTAAAACCCGCATGAAGCTCAATATAATGTTTTATAAACACGAGGGAATTTTATGCCTTGTTTTCTAAAATACAAGAGAGTTTCTTACCGTTTTAAATGGCAAGAGAATATGATGCAAACTTTCCAAATCAATGGATAGTAAAAAGTCGTAAGGGTCGTAAACAATACGATAATCTTGTACGTTCTTACCTGTATAAGTGTGAAGATAGGTAATGGCATGAGCAACATCGATTGCAATGTCCAAACGTTGGCCTATATCGAGTCCAAAACCGTTTGCCCCTACAGAAGAAATGCATGGATCGATCAACTTACATGAAAAAAAAAAAAAAAATCGTTATAAAATGGTTCATCGGCGACATACCATCTAAATGGTCTCGAAGGGTCCCGTTGCTCACGTATTCAACTACTATAAGCTGCTCGTCTTGATGCTCGACGTACCCAAAAAATCTCACTAGGCTCAGATGCTCTATCTTTGATAATGCCGCGACTTCGTTCTTGAACTCTTCCAACGAGCAATGATCATAACTTTCCTGCCAACCTAGTTTGTGAAAATTTCACCAACAGAAAACAAAAACTGGAGTGTTTGTAAAGAGCTACCTTCTTTGCGCGCTTTATCGCTACAACGGCACCATTCTTTAGTATTCCTCGGTACACATATCCAAATCCACCTTCGCCGATTATATTCTCTGAAGAGAAATTCCCAGTCCCCTCGCGGATTTCTTCGAATGTTAAGCAACTTTCAACCTGAGGTGTGTCAACTTCAGAAATTGCAGATGCATCATCAGTGCGCCTAGATATTGTTAAACTATGTATCATTGAAAAAGCAATCGATCGGATTAGATAGATATCCCTTCGACACAACATATGTCATCCACGGCGACATCCTTGAAAGCCAATAAAGTCCCAAAGCTACGAAAAAAACTTAAAAGGGATGAAGGCTGTAAAACAAACAAACAAACTGTTCGCGAGCTCGGCTCGGTTCGGTTCGTTTGAGCTCGCTAAGAGCTCGTTCATTTAGCTAAACGAGCCGAACACGAACATACATTTGGGCTCGTCGTGTTCACGAACGAGCTCGAGCTTGTTCGCGAATGTTCAATAGTATTTATTAAAAATTAAATTAATAATTTTATATTTAATAAGATATATATATCTTTATAAATATTATATTTCATTCTATTTTTATTTAAATTTATTAATAAAAAAATATAATTATTATTAACTAAATTTAATTTTTTTTAAAAAAAATAAATAAATAAAATAAAATTTCTCTTAACGAGCCGAGTCGAGTCGAACATGAACAAAAAAATTGTTAAACGGAGCCGAACTCAAACAAAAATTTCAGCACGTAACTCTTAAAGAACAAATACGAGCCAAACTCGAATCCTTAAAAAGCCGAGCACAAACATGACAAGCTCAGTTCTGTTCGGCTCCTTTCGTTTACAGCTCTACTCGGGATAGAAGATAAGATTTTCAGCACACAAAATCTCATAGCTTACAGGAACTGTGGCTGAGGCGAAAGCACGTTGAATTTGACCTTACCAGTTGCAATTCCAGCCTTCTTGGGCCAACAAAAGATCAAAGAAATAACCGATCCCACCCTTCTGGCAGCATCTACGACAAAGCTTAAGGCCGGATTCTTGAATTTCCGAGTCTCTTTGTTGGACTTGGAATTGGTATTCAGTCTCCGGATACTACCACGGCGGATGATAATAGGGCTTACAGTTTTTACTGGCAGAAGGCTCGAAGTTTTCATCGGCAGGCCTCGTAGTCGTCTAAGTTAGCTGAAATTTAGCTGTAATACTTGATGCTGAAGAGATTCTTTGTTACTTTCAGGTTATGTAGGCAATGACTTGTTCAGAAGTATAAAATACAGTTGCAAAATGAGACTTAGTTATCAACTTGGGGAGTTTTTAAAGTGGTGAATGAAGATGAAATGTTAAGTCAACGAGGAATAGGCTACCTGAAAAGTTCAATGTTCAAGAAGTATAAACTACAATCTAATATTCTATTACAAGTGGAGCTGAAGTAGGGATGATCTGAAAAACATGGATTTTCTAAGGTTTGTGCTTTCGGTATAGAAGCGGGCATTGTCGTTTCACACTGTCAATCTATCAGAAGTCTATGATTCTTGAAACTACGAATTAATCGATCGTGAACTTCTTTTCCTGGAGAAGAAGCTATTTTTCATGTCTGAACTTATGAACACAACAACTTTCGCATTTCATACAGAATAACATCAACAGTTTTATGAGCTTTTTCGACAAAAACTCTACTCGTTCTTTACAGTAATTCTATAAGATAAAGAGGCGGCGCCCCGTGCCAATACTGCCTTGCGCTGATCAAGCAAGAATGTGAATTTATAACAAATATGATTTCCTATGAATCTTACTTTTGTTTTTTCTAGAGCGCAGATTTCAGGATACATACTATATGTAGAACTAACTAAGATGACATTGCACCGAGTGCAACTATGCTCCACAAGAACGCATACAAAAAGGTCCATTTGAATACCTGAAAATTAGTGTGGTACATCATTCGCCCTGCCCTGCTACCAACTCAATTGTTTTAAAGATTGCGAAACAAGAAAGGGAAAAAGAAAAAAAAATAAAAAAAATACAAGATTAATACAATGGCTCGCTTGGGATAGTTTACCACAGTTAACCCAGAACTTGGTGCTGATTTTGCCCATCCAAGCCATTCAGCAGTTCGTTGTGCTGGGGTAGTTTACGACAATTTAGGGAACAAGCAGTAGCCATCACTCTGTTATGTCCAAATTTTCTGCTTCAAACTGACGTTCCTGATGAAATAATTAGAAGAAAGTTGGAAGTAAATATGAAGTGAATCCAGTAGGGGCCTACACTAAAAGTGCATGAAAGGAATGTCTAGCTAGAAACTATCCATCCATGGAGAGAGGATAGAAATGGTAGAGTTCATGAGCCCTTCCACAATTTTGAAAAAGACTAAAACATGGGACAATCCCTCATAATATGTTGCTTTTAATCATCGACACCATAAGATGATAAATATTCTCTTGCAGTTCAATAAACACTTCTGAAACTTTTCATATTATTCATAAGCAATCACTTCTCTACAATATCGCATCAATACTTTTTTCTTCTCGCAAAATATCCAACTTTTTACTATTAAAAAATTGTTCAAAACCCCCAAAATTTTCAAAATTTTTATCTAAATAACGCAGCATTCTTTTTCTTTTTTTTTTTTGAGTTCACTCAATTAAGACATGGAGCACAATCCCACCAAACATAGCATTTTGTTAGTATGAAATATGAATCTAAAACCCTCACAGTAGTTCATGTTCCTTTTAACACAGCTAGTTTCTCTTAGCCAAATTGAAAAGCCTTTTGTTAGACAACAAATGTATACCTGGACAAATTCGACGACCATATTTCGACCTTATCAAAACCAGTCAGTATACAGGAATAGTTAAATCACAATACTAAACTTAAGGCACGCAATCAAATCCTAAACATACCAAATTATCAAACATTATGATAAATTTCAAAGATTATTTTAACTCTTCAAACTTCAAAATTGCACAACATTGATATAATCTTCACAATGCAATTACCATAACCAGAAATGATTGAAAATATAGACAAAAAGCTAAATGAACCATCATATATATGATCTCAATCACTCTAAAGTTATTGGAAAACTATTTTGTTAGCAAATGTATACCTTCTTCTTCTTCTTCTTCTTCTTCTTCAAATTCATCCTCTGCAGCAGCAGCAATGTCATCTTCCTCAACAGCATCAGCCCCATACCTCTCATTCAACATATCTACGGCACCTTTAGTTAAAACCAAATTCTCCGAATCCAAAATGTCGAATAGATTCAAAGTCCTCGGTGTCAGCATTTTCAGAGTGCCGATGTTTCTGCTCGACAGCTTCACATTATCGGGAACTTGGGTCATCAGAAACAGGGATTTCTTCTTCGGATCCAGCCCTAACCTCTTCATCAGTGCGATGAACTCCTTCGTTTTAGGCTTCTCGAATTTATCCTCGAAGTCCTCAACAACAACAGTGCTCTCGACTGCGCTGGAGATGGCGGTGGAAATGGCGAGCTTCTTCTCCTTCTTGTTGATTTTCACGGACCAGTCCTTCGGCTTAGGGCCGAAGATGACGCCGCCGCCGGGGCGGAGGGGGGTTCGCTGCGAGCCTCTCCGTGCACGCCCTGTTTTCTTCTGAGGGTAAGGCTTCACGCCGCCGCCGCGAACCTCGGCGCGGGTGAGGGTCGAGGCCGTGCCGCGGCGGCGATTGGTGAGGTCGGTTGTGAGACCTCGATGGACGACGGCACGTGCGGTCTCCGGCGGGGCAGACTTGAGGTTGAGCGTGGCGGAGCCGGCTTGCGCTCCTTCGAAGGTGAGGACGGGGAGTGTGGTGAGTTCGGAGCGGATGGTTGAAGAGGAGAATTGGAATTGGAAGGCGGTCCGGCGGTGGCGATGGTTGGGGAAAAGGAGGTTTGTGGGAGGAGTTCGTGTGGAGAGAGAGATTGAGATTGAGGAGGAGAAGGAGAGTGACGAAGGTGCAGGAGCGGCCGCCATTGATGGTCCGAGATGAAAGGAACACAGAAATACGTTATCTCCTCCTCTATCCCCGCCCGTGTTTCAACTATTTATTCATTTTTTAAAAAATATATATTGGCCAAATAACAAAAATAATATCATATAAATTTTCGAATTTGCTAAACATTTCAGGTTTCTATGGGTGTGTTTCTTTGGGACTATGGGAAAATTTGACTTAGAGATTGATTTTTATTTGAATTTTGATTGGGTATATATTTATGTGTTTTTTTTTTTTTTTGTTTAAGTTTGGATTGAGTTTAGGAAATTTTGATGTGTATTGATTTGATGATAACAAATATAATATTTCCTTCGCCTCTTTAGAAGAGTATTATACTGGATTACAGTAAACAAAATAAAAAAAAATACCCTAATTAGTATAGTATAATATAAAAGCAATTTGTGTAATATATTATAAGTTGAAAAAATATTTATTATGTTAAATAGGTAGTACAATTACTAAGGAAATGATAACCTTATTTTTGTTTTTGGAGGAGGACGAAAATAAAAAATGGTACGGAGGGAGTAATATAAATTTGTATTAATTTGTATAATTTGATTATAAATTTATATTATATTTACGTATATATATATTCCTATAGTTTTATTTATTAGTATTATAAAATGACATATATATTGTATATATTTTATTAAATTATAATTATTATAATTTTTTATATTTATAATTTTTTGTTAAATATATATATTATATAGAAATTGACATGACATTATGGCTGAGATATTTATAAATAAAAAATTTGCATAATTTAATAATTTCTAATATATTATATACCATTAAATTTTAATCCGTAGAGCAAATCACTGTCATTCATTATTGCTTAAATTATATAACATCCTTTTGTATTTTTAGTAAAAATACATAAAATATTCCATATTTTATTTATTATCTGAAATTCTCTTCTGTCAATATAAAATTTGCACAAAACATCCTCGTCCTATGGATATCTTTCTGTGTTGAGCCAATTCCAATGCTCATTTCCAAGTAATTCTACTTTACAATTACATTAATGTTGAAGAATGAATACATACACACATATCAATCTATCTATAAACATGGAATAAATACAAGGATCTCCCTTCCCTCCGAGTAAAAACAATACGGCGAACCTTGGGTTTGGTATTAGACAAGTAATGTGCTTCACACTAGTAAATTAATAATGCTATAGTAGACTGACTACTGACTGACTGACTGTACACAAATGCAAGCAAGCAATCAATGGCTACGACTTCCATCCGTGTACCCACCCAACCCACAAGTAGTGGTGTTTTTGTTCTAATCTTCCTTCCGCTCAAGAATAATAGCAAGCAAGCAAGCATGATTGCATCGAAAAGAACGGGAAGCCAAATGAATGATACTTGTTGTCATTGCCAAGAAGATTCTTGCTTTCCTTGGATGAACAAGGTAAGCTCTGATGGAGCAACCACCAATTTCAACCATTCTTCAAGTTCATCGCCTTCTACTTTCTCCTTCACTACAAACATACAACATCATAATGTCAGAACAAACAACAGTTCCGTAAGCAATAAAGCGTGCAATTTCTATTCAATAAGCATTTCAAATGGATATGAGTAAATTAGTTTATGAGCATATTATACTCTACTTTGATCCCTCAACTCAATAATGTCACAGCCATCACACTCCACACAATACATGTAGTCAGTCTATTGGGCACTTTTCAAGCTATTTTCTCATACTTGCAGCTAAATAATCCATGAAAAAATGATATTAGTTGTCGGAAAAAGAATTGAAAAGGATGGACCCCACTGTGTCTCTGCATTAGAGATCATACTGCTGGACCAGGCCACAAGAGAATCAACAAAAAAATTATTTGAAATAGCCTGTGTTATGAAATTTGATCGAATAGTTCTCAATGAAGAAAGGTACAAAACGAAGCTATATTTTGAATTACCTTCCAAGTAGGCCCCAAGACCCTCCAAGACAACAGGATTTGCACGAACAACAGAGAGTGCTACGTCTAGTGCAGATTGCAGCAACATTTTAACCTCTCTGTGAACGAGGTCAACAAGATGCCCCTGTCAGATGAAACTTAACAGTCACTATGCATGCCATGTAATGTCAAAATAAAATTAAAATTGGGACTTCAAAATCAAGAGTCGGAAGAGGAAAGCTTCATGATACCTGTTCCCTGCCCAAAAGGGAAGTTCCCCCTGACTCATCCATGCCACCACTCGAAAGAGTTCCTAATGAGACAGGGCCAATGGTTTCATTAAGACCATATTCAGCCACTGCCTTGTATGCCATATCAGTTGCTCTTCGTATATCATCAAGTGCACCTGTTGATACACGTCCAGAGTAAATAAACTCTTCTGCTGCACGTCCGCCAAGAAGGGTAACAAGGCGCCCACGCAACTCATCGATGAAGAGCAAATACCTATCTTCATTAGTTGGAGGTATGTAAGTAAATCCCAGTGCACCTCCGGATCTTGGCAATATGCTCAGTTTCTGATGAAAGGAAAATCATAGACGATTATAAGATGAATGATCATCTTTAATTGTCTCCCAAAACTCTTGCTGCTATTACCTCAACACGTGGCTGTCCAGAAAGAAGCAGAGCAACAGCAGTTCCCACAACTGCATGACCAGCTTCATGTCGTGCAACAACAGCTTTCTCACTGCCTTGCAACTTGGTTGTCTTCTTTTCGATTCCCTGTATCACAACACCTTCTCATTATAAACAGAGGAAACCAAACAGCAAGACAGGGCAATGAAAGTCCTTTGAAAAACATTAAATTTATGGATGCAAAGACTTCATTTAACTAGTTTTGGTTGGATGCAAGGCTACAGAAAGTTGAAAGTATTCAATGTGATGCATAACAGCGGTTTAACCCCTGGATTGATTCCTCCCAGGATTAATTTTGGTATTTTCCTATTATTAGGATAGTTTTGATTTTCTTCTTTGATTATGATTAGATTTGATATATTACTTCGAGTATGATTAGTGTTGGTATATTTGAAAAAGCCATGTATTAGGCTTAGAGCTCATCTTTTCTTTTGGAGAATAAGATCCGGAGTGCAAGACGACAAAGCCTCAGGCTTGGTAAATTTGTTCCTAACAGTTTCTTCAAGCACATTCGGATCCTTATTGAAAAAGGACCAAGTTCAGAATGTAGAATGAGAATGAGAAGGCTCAAGGATTGTGACGGCGGCCAAGCCTCAGATGTGGAGCAGCTCCTATATGGTTGTCAGCTACTACTTGAACTTGATGACTTAAGATTGGTTTGGCACTAATATATATTTGATGACCGTAAGTTTAGGTATATTCAACAACAAATTTCCAAATCTCAAGTGGGACCAGAAGGTATTGGGATAATTGAAATGATTAAATATATAACACAAAAAAAAAAAAAAGTGGGGGAACTAGTTTCAACCAATCAAGGACCAACAGTTTGTGCAGAACCAAAACATGTTGAATAACATGTTATCCAAAATGTTAAATGTTAACCTCACTCCAACTATTTTGACCTAAGAACACAATGATCCATAAATTACATAAGTTTACACCAAAAGAACAATTTTGTCATAACTTTTAAACTTATCAACCATGCTAGTAATTTCATATTTTATGAGATGCTGTACTCTGGCAGCAGCTTATAAAGATATTTTCATGTGATGTCGACAACTAATGAATCCCTTAATATAGCTATATTTCAAATTCCCAAACTCCCACACAAGTGATTAAAAATTTTGTAATTCACATAACAGAAACATCACAAGGACAAGGTAGATGAAAGAATTTGTTACCGCAATTGACCGCTCCACTGCATGAATAAAATCAATTTTCTCCACCATAACTTTATTATTCCTTCCAGCCAACAATGCAGCTTCATTAACCAAATTTGCTAGATCTGCCCTATAAGATTGAAAATCGGGGTTAAAATATTCAATGTCTTTTATGGTTAATTACATGTAAAATTCAGAAAGTCAATAAATACCCAGTAAAACCAGTGGTCATTGATGCAATATCTCCCAGGTCTACATCCTTGCCAAGGGGAAGATCTTTCTTAGAGACATGAACTTCTAGTATAGCTTCTCTTCCAGTCCGATCAGGTGCTTCCACCTAATAGAAATAAGGATTGCATTTTTTTAGACAATTGATTAAATTCAGTTCATTTATCATTAACATAATCTAGATGGTCTTGTTACCATAACCACTCGATCAAATCTCCCAGGTCGCCGGAGGGCAGGATCCAAAACATCTGCTCTGTTAGTTGCTCCAAGGACAATCACAGCTGAGTTGCTGTCAAATCCATCCATTTCCTGCAACATAACTGCTACTAAGCCTCTCACCACGGCAGAAAGTCAAGTCTAAACAGAGAATTTAGCTTGAAGAAGCATACAGTCAGAAGCTGATTTAAGGTTTGCTCCCGCTCATCATTACTCACAATACGGAATTTGCCATCACGGCTCTTGGCTACTGCATCTATCTAAAATTTGAATTTTTAATTAGAAGATAACAATTATGATTTATCATAATTTATGATTTCACAACCAAACCGCACTGGGAAGGGCGAAAAACAACCTCATCTATGAATATTATGGCTGGAGACTCCTTCTTTGCTCGAGCAAAAAGGTCTCTGACGCGAGATGCGCCCATACCAACATATAGTTCAACGAACTCACTTGCTGAACAACTAAGGAAAGGAACATCAGCTTCCCCAGCAACCGCTTTTGCTAAAAGTGTCTTACCGGTTCCTGGGAGACCAACCTATACGACATGGGATCAGAATCTCTCTATGGAGAAAATAATTATCAGAAAAATAAATAAATAAAAACACAACAACAACCGCAAAGATAAACAGATTTTAAAACAGTGGATCCTGCAGATACACCAGCAATAAATGAATATGATTTGTTGATAGAAACAACTCACCAGAAGAACACCTCTGGGAGGCCGTGCCCCAAGTCTTATATACCTGTCTGGATTCCTAAGAAATTCCTGGCCAGTGAAAAGTAGAAATGAGTTAATAGGAAACATGCAAACAAAATCACTAGGTGAAAATAGATTTGATCTTTAACTTAGTAAATGCGACTCAATAATCTTACCACAATTTCTTCTAGCTCCTCCTTGGCCTCATCAACACCAGCAACATCAGCAAACATAACCGCTTCCCCTTGCTCACAAGTTTTCATTCCCCCAGAAATCCCATATTTACGGTTTTTAAGTTGCCCTGCAGCGTGCTACATATTGGAAGGCTGGACTCAAACTTTGTTCATACAGTCTATTTAATTTTAAGAAACAAGTATACACTGCAAAAAGGTTACTACCTGAGCGAAGCTTAAAGGGAATCTATGAAGAAGACCTGCCAGCACAGCAATGTAAAATATGGATATCTGTGCAACAGAAACAATTAGACTAAGATCTTCTTGTCGGACGTCTAGATCTGCACGGCTACATCTAAATATAAACAGTACATGTTATTTTTTTTTTTTGGCTTTTTTTTTTTTTTTTTAATTGTTGAATGCTAAGAGGATACATTTAAGTTAGACAAAAGATCTACCATAAATCAACTCGAACATGACATCCCTCCTGACATTCTCATGTCAAGTTTTGAAATAGTTAGCAAGAAGAGGATGAGGAGAAGATGGCATGCTAACCTTGCAAACAATATCCATTATATTTCACAACATTGATGAATTTGATTTAGTGAATAATAACTGAATAAGTGACATATCTTAGGATTATACTTCAGAACATTGATGACATCAACTTGATGAATTAATTATGGGATAAGCAAAAGGGGGACGAAGCAATCTCCAACAAACAACATATACCACCATTCAAGCTAACCTGATATGTACAAGACATAAATCCAAGATTGAAGAGGCAGATTATACCATATGGGCTTTGCAAATTTTGGTATATAATAATATTGTGTTCTTTTGTGTTTTAAATTTTTTTTTGTATTTTCCATTTTGATATTTTTCAGATAAAAATAATTTTTTTTTGTGATACTTTGTATTAAAAAATAGATATTTGATGGAATGTTTTCGAAGAAAAAATAAAAAATAAAATAATAAAAAGTGGGGTTTGGAAACACAAAAGAACAGATGCTAAGTTTTTCAAGAAGCAGCTTTACACAGCCACGATATTAGGCCAAACTAGAACATAATAACAGACAGCAGCCACTGATGGTCACTATCACAGTAAGAAACTGTTTCGGAGACTACTCCATGAACACCACAGATATCATAGATATAATCTACCTTTACAAGGAAATGGCTTTTTCGTAATGTTTTTCCCGTTTTCCCCGCCAAAATCATAATCATCATTTGTAATTAATATTCCCTCTGTCATAAAATAGGCTCACTTTCCTTCTTTTGTTTGTCACCAAAAAAAAAAAAAAAATAGGCCCATTTCATTTTTAGCAAATAAATTCAACTATTTTTTACCCTTTTTAACCGGTCTTTTCTACTTTTCATACTATAAAAGACAAAAAATACACACCATATTAAAATCCGTACCCAAACCAAATGAACTTATTTTTTTCACGACGGAGGGAGTATAACTTTTGTAACTAACTGCTATTATCTGCTGAAGATCTAAAACACTACATCTGCCTGATTACATTGATTAACTCTTAGGAAATTCACTTCTAACTGCTGAATTTTAGTTAATAATAGTATCAAATTGTTTCCACTATGCAGTGACATATTCACAGTTTTAAAGGACACCTGATAACAACATTTCTGAAAGCAAGGTAGCCTGAATGTCTAGATTATTCAGAAATCATCCTTCTTTTTCGTGTGCCATAGAAAAAAAGCAGCAGAAATGAGAAAAACAAAAGGAGCTCTAAAATCACCAAATGCAACAACTCACCATTGCAGAACTCAGGAATCCTCCAGACCTTTTATCCGGAGATCCAAACTCCACACCATTTTCTAACATCTTATCGTAGGGTGTCTTGATATCTACCGGCCTAGTAGTCGCGAAAACAATCCTCTTTGTGGGGGTTACACTCCTCAGCAAAGACTCTGAGTCCTGCAACTCATTATTCACCTCCCCACCATCGCTATCCATCCTCCCAGCTTCACTCTTCAGCTTAAACATTATATGCACCCCATCAACCTCCGCCTGGTCCACTTGATTGCTATTAACCCTGCTCAGAAACTCGCTGTAAGGAACGGTCACCGATGGCGTCGGGGCCTTCGGCAGCGAAATCCCGGGCCGGAGCAATCTCATGGCGACCATCACAATCCCTAACTGCACAAGCAAAACGCCCATCTCCTGCACTTGTATCATCGGCTTCCACCGCCATCTATTATTACCTTTGTTGTTCCACCAATTGTTCTTCCCCTGTTTTTCCCGCCTGCCAGAACCCGAATCCCGCGACCTCTCCGGCCCGCTCGCTTGTGCTTTGTCCGCCGAATCGGTATCCTGCTCGCAAGGACTGTTGGCGAAAACGGTGAATCTCCAATCCAAGGGGCGATTCCGCGAAAAATACCCTCGAACGAAATTAGGCCGCCACACCCGCAACGGGGGCGTGCTGTAAATTGGAGCGCGAAGGTCGACGTAGAAAGCATTGCACCGGCCGCAACAGAAGGCGTAATTCCGTGATGGGATGCGGCTGCTGTGTCTGAACATTGGAATTCTCCGGTGGATTATCGTGGAATCCATGGTGACAGACATTTTGGGACGGAGACGAAATTGGGGGGAAATTCCAATTCAGATAACACCAGGAACAATCAATTCATTTACAGAGAAGTTCCCTTCCGTTTCTTCTGCTGATTTGGATGTTCGGGAGAGAGAAGGGAATGGGAAACAGCAATTTAGGCCGTTGGATTCGCCGACGACGGCGGCTCTTAAACCGTCGAATGGTTTCTGTACGTCCGATTTTCCTCTTGTTATCTTTTGAGAGTTCGAAGCGAGCTATTCATGTAGCCATTTGGGTCAAGAATTGCAATATTACCCCCGAAAGGTTGCAAAGTATATCCTCCTTCCGAGTCCATGTACGTATTTTTTTGGATTTTTATGAAAGTGTAAATATGTAACTTGTGTTTTTAAAAATATTTTAATATTAACTAACTATTATTTATACTCCTTTCGTAGTTTCGAAATTTTGTCTAGATTTTTTTTTTATTTTAAAAATTATCTGGTATCTTTTTATACTTTAAAACTTTTTTAAATCGATTTTGAAATTTAGTGTAAATTTATACTTTAATTTAAAAATGACATCGTGTCCCTTTATTTAAAAAAATATTGCATGAAATTTCTTAAAAAAGAAAATATAGATAGAAATCATCTTCTCATCATATAAGGAAAGTTTTATGGCGGTGAGATTTTTCGTAATATTTTTTAAAATATAATAAAGCGCTATGCAATTTTTAAAATATAGGGGATTTCACGTAAATTTCGAAACTACAGAGAAAATACGTGGAATTTTACCTTATTTTTATAATAAATTAATACTTCTTTCATTCCACATATAGGGTGCGTTTGTCAATTAGCTTATAGCTTTTCGGTGTTAGCTGATTCAATTAGCTGGTTTGACTAGCTTACTCAATTAGCGCGGTTTGTGGTCAAGTATTTGGTAAAACAATTGTTTTGACATTAACTGTTTATACATAAAATGATTGTTAAGGACATTATATGTTATTGTTTTAAATATTTAATTTTGTTCATTTTGGTTTGAAATTTATGAGAATTTTTGTTATTAATTATTGAAAATTCTAAAAACATTATAAAATTTTTATTTTATTTTTATTATTTAAATTTGAGAAAATTATTTTTATTAAAAAATAATAATAATTTTTTATTAAAATTATGCAAAATATAAAATAATAAATATTTCGTATATATATATTTTTATTATGTTAATTATTGTTTTAATATATATAAATAAATTAATAACCTTTGTTTTTTCTAATTAATTTTGTTTTAAATATTTATATATTTTACAAATAAAATGATTTATAAGTAATAATTAATAAGTAATAAAAATTATTTTAAATTTACAAAATAAAAATATAATTTAATAAATTAAATATATTAAAAATAATTAATAAATACAACTATAAAAATATATTTATATGTATAAAATAAATAATTAAATTTTAAGGGTAAATAAGAAATAACCAAAATTAAAATGAAAAAGCTCTTCCAAAACACTGAGTAGATTAGTTTTTCAGAAATTAACCTTTTTTTTTTTTTTTCCCAAAAAGCTCTTTCAAAAATTAATATACCAAATACCTAAAATAGCTTTTTGACTGGTCAAACAACTAAAAGTTATTAATAAGTTAAAAGCTCTTCAAAAAGTTCTTTCCCAAGCACCCTCATAGTATACATTTAGGTTCCAGCATGAAAGATAATAGTCTCTTCGTCTCACATATTGTGTTCATATTGTTGTTTCCGTTAGTTTCACATATTGTCATTTTTCTTTTTTATTTTTGTGTCTACAGTAACACGAACACGCTAAGTGAAACGGATGGAGTATTAAATAAAATAAATTGGAAATTAGATAATATAATAGGATAAAGTGTAGTGAGTTATTTTATACTTCACTCCGTCCCAGAACTATAGTCTTAATTGGCTTGGACACAAGATTTAAGAAATATTAATATTATATTGGTAGTCGGTAAAAAGTACAGGTAAAAGACTACGGACAAAAATGGTAAACAATATTTATGTATTGGAATGGAGGGAGTATTTTAAAATGTTACAGATATATAAGATAGACCAAAATAATAAAAATACTGTGAAACTGACGAAGGTATAAAAAATAAAAATGATAATAAAAATATTTCAGTAAGTATTCTTTCCGTCCAAGTAGTTAAAAGTTATGTAAAGATAATATTGATTTTGTTTTTTTTTTTATGTAAAAATAATATTGTGATGATAAAGCAGAGATATTTGTAAAAAAAAATCATAGTTACTAAAAAAAATAAATAGTTACTTGTAATTAGACAATTTAAAATAAATAAATATATATATTGTAAATGGACTATTGATTTACTAATGGTGGACTCTTTCGACCCTGCATCCGGAACACATGTTCCGGTGCCCATATTGTGCCAGGTGGCGCAATCTAAAAAAATCATTTTTTTTTAGTTTTATTTTTAAATTTTTTGAAATTTTACTTTCTTCTTCTGATAGTTAAAAAAACTTCAATCTGTCTGCACTTATGAACATTGTTCCAAACATTGTTCATGAACGTGACCTCTTTGAACATTGCAATAATTTGAGATTTATGTCACGTATTTGGACACTTGAACTAAAAACAACTTAATCATTTCTTCTTTATTGACGAAAAATCATAAAAAAAGGGAAAAAAAAAAAAGAAAAGAAAAAACTCATCTTCCCCCAACCGCGACAAACCCAATACGTCTGCTTTCCATTCTACTACTTTCCCCTCCATTCCGAGAATCATTCAACGTTGATTTGGTTTTAGAGTTACGAACACAGCAACATTAGTAATCGTGGAAAAATTCGAAAAAATAGTCCTACTCCAACAAGTAAACGGAATTGTCGCGCCTACTCCAACAATCAAATATGTGTATCTAATAAGTTGTTAAAGTTATTATTTTATTCAGTCTTATTATTTTAGTGGTCTAATTAATATAATTAATTATTAACTGATAGGTTTGATTGTTATGGAATGAAAATGCAGCTACCTGTATAATATTATTATTTTGATGACGTGACAAATTAATAATATTAATTAAGGGCATAATTGTAATTGCAATTATGTTTGCGCTATTTATAAATAGGCTAGGATTAGGTCCTCAGGATTAGCACGCCGTAAAAGAGATCTGATTCTCCCTCCAGTTTCTGCTCCTCACCCGTCAAGGATCAGACATTTAAATTCAACAAAGAATCCATCAAAGATACGAGAAAGAGCAAATGTCAGCTATGGTAACCGAATAATAGGCCCTAAAATCTCGTCCATACAATTAAATTTATTTAGTAGTTTACTATGTATATTTGTTCTTATTTTCCCTAGTAATTAGGCTTGTAAGGTTTGTAATATGTCTTTGTAAATAGGTTGGTGATTTAGTATATGAAACTGGGAAAGTTTCGATAGTATTATATATATATTTGTAATTCTAATATTTCGATGGAATAAGAGCAGACAACCATTCACTCACATTTTGATTTTTTCATTGTTATTTCTTTCACAAAATAGCTAGCTGAAGTCCCAAAATTAGCCACACTGAAGGGTGTGTTTGTTTGGGGATTGGATTTTCAATCCACTGTCCATTCCATTTTTTTTTTTCCCAAAAACATCAAATCAAACACCTATTTTTTATTTTTTATATTATACTAAAAATTAATTTTACATTCAAAATATCACATCAACACCTATTTATATCACATCATACAACTATTCAAATTCAAAATTTTTACTATTTAAATCCCAACTCTAAAATCCAAACCCCCGAACAAACACACTCGAATCGTAGATTTGTTTTCTTTGAGATCCGCTTTATTTGTTGCTTTGCTCAAGGGAAGGAGGAGGAATTCTAAGGGTGTGTTTGTTTGGGGGTTTGGATTTTGAGTTGGGATTTGAATAGTAATAATTTGAATTTGAATAGTTATATGATATGATATAAATAGGTATTAATGTAATGTTTTGAATGTAAAATTATTTTTAATATAATATAAAAAATAAAAAATAGGTATTTGATTTGATATTTTTTTTTTGAAAAAAAATTGGATGAATAGTAAATTTTGGGACAAATCCTCCAAACAAACACACCCTAAATATATATATTGTTTTTCAAGAATTTTATTAAAATATTATTTATTTAATTACTTATTATACCTTTGTTTTTTTTTTTTTTTTTTTTTTTTTTTTTTTTTTTTACTAATGGTGTGTTTGGTTTGACAGAGTAGGAGGGGAGGGAAGGTGGAGGAATTGTAAATTTTTTTATTATTTTTTTTTTTTTGTGTTTGGTTTAAATTTTATTAAGGGTCTGTTTGGTTGGAGGTGAAGGGAGGGGAGAGAATTTCAAAATTGTCATAATGTGTTTGGTTCATATGGAAGAGAAGAGATAATGAGGAAAAATAATATTTTTGTGTTTTTGTTAAACAGAAGAGGGGAGGGAAAATAGAAAATTTTTATTATTTTGTCCCTATATAAGTAAAGAAAAATAAAAGTATTTAATAAAATTCGATTAATTTATTCATACAATGTCATACAAAATGTATTTGTCCAATATGATAAACTAAATTTTTTAAGCATTTTGCTTATATCTTTAGTGCAAGATTGTATTAAAATTTAAGTTGAGACCATAGAATAGATATTATGCTTGTATTGAAACTATTTTTGAAAGATAATAAATTATTTGTTTTTTAAATAAATACTATTCATTCAAAACTAAATTATTTTTTTTTAAATTATTTATTAAAATATTATTATTATTATAGATATAATTATATACTAATATGATTTGTTAAAAATGATTTTCTCCGGCTCTGAGGATCACATTTACTTTTTGCATCGTTGTATTTAATATTAAAAATATTCTTATATTTGTATAAATTTTTCTACAAATGTCATTCTATTAGTATTATAAAACATTAATTGAAGTATTTTTGCAATTTTTTCTTAATTTGTATTATATTTTGATATAATAATTAATATTTACATATCAACACAAAATAAAGTAAATAAAACCATGGACGGAGTTAGTATTATAATTAAACTTGATTATTTAATTAAAAATATTTCAATATATATAATATAATTTAAATCTATGTACAATATACTTCCTCCGTCCAGTTAGAAAGTATACACATTTCTATTTTGGGAAGTCCAATTAAAAGTAAACATTTCATTAAATACCTCACTTTTTTCTACAAACACCCTTACTTTACATCACATCATTACTTTTATACCAAAAAGCAAGGGCAAAAATGTTATTATACTACTTTTAACTACTCACTATAATTAAAA